GATGAAACGGGCAAGATGCGCTAACAGTGAAAATGGCCTAAATAAGCTCTGAATGCCGGCTAGCTGAACACTAACACACCACACACAAAACCTAACACAACACCAAATCCCCTACTTATACTTCACTAAGACTAAGCGCGTCTTCCTCAGTGAGTTCGGGTCCGAGCCGTAGTATGCGACTACTGGTTTGGATTCCTAACACAACGAGAATTGAATTATGGCCTCAACTATCCCAACTAAACAAACACCACACTATTCGCTAGCTACCCTTGACGTTCCGAAACAAGACTTCCCAAGGTTGGGATGTACAGGTTTGGGGGTGATAAGGATGTTTACTAGGCGGACGCACAAAGTGCAGTCGTCCTAGGCGAGGTAAATGAAGTGTCTATCTGAAAACTCCCACTAATGGGCTCTGCACTTCCTCTATGGCTTGGCTAGCTAAATGCTGCTAACGGCTGACTTAGACTCCTCTGAATCCAAGCTCTTTTCTGTTACACTTGGGCTTATTAAGGACCCCGAGTATTCTCTTAGCTCAACTAGTCGGTCAATGAATCGACTGGCAGTTCTACCAAAGTGCTGTGCCGGGCGTGGTCCGTTTTACAAGAGGCGTTTCCTGGTCACCCAATGCGTAGCTACCACTGAAGTCCACCACAAAGCTAGCCGCAACTCTCAAACTTAAACTCTTGTGCTCTCGGTCCTGATTTATACGTGGAGAATGGCACCGCTCACAAACTCCCAACGCGAAGCTTCGACTTATTGGTTCACACAGTTACTTCTGGATCCAACAAACAACACTGCGATTCTTATAGACTGGACTACAACAGAGAAGGTACTTTATCTCCGCTTCGACTGGCCTGAGCACACCCTTATCAACTGAGCGATGAGCGGGGCATGAACTGGTCTCTAGCGGTATTTTATGAGGCTTTATATACTGTTCAGAGAGAAAATGATGAGGTAAAGAGAAATGAGCAAAACAGGCCAATGTTCTGGTCATGCGACCGCCTCCGGAAGACGAGCCGGGTCCATTCGTGGTCTAGGCTTGCCTAGCTGGCCAACTATCTGACCATCTCGACAGCCAAGCCGGGTATGATTGCCTTTCTCAGCGTGCTAGTCTGCACCCGAGCAACTCTCCATGTGCAACTCCACTCCGGCACTACTATTCCCGGTGCAGCTTGCTCATAATCACGCCATTCCACCCCGCTATCTTACGGACTGAACATCCCAGCGTTCATCCACTGCTCCAACTCAACATGAATTCACTGTTTCCGCTATTTGTCTTTGTTAGGCTCTTTGGATCTCGTCGCGTCCATCACCTGACCTGCTGGTGGGTATACTCCTATACCCCTATGGTTGGTCCCTTCGCATTGTCTCAGCTAGCGCCACTTCGACCGCTACTGTATCGACTTCAGCAGTGTATGTCCAGCTGCTATGGTACTAGCCGCCTTCCTACACCCGCTAGCTCGCTCGTGCTCGTTCCTACTCTGTGCTAGCTCCGACCAAAGCTCCGTCTGTACAGTCGTTGGTCCTCGTTCATAGAATCCTTGACACTCTGAGGTACTAGACCTGTATGTTTATCTCCTTGATGCGTGTATTCGCCTAGTGTAACGCTTGTAAACCGCGCCTAGCACTATAACTCGTACTACAGCCAGCAGCCGGAGCTCACTCTGACTCTCCTTTGTACCACCGAACAGAGTTCCCATTGCTAGTTTGTAGCCCTGAGAAGCTAGTAATGTACTTAATTGAAGCTAGCAGACTTCGTCATGCGCTAACTCTAAGAAGCGCAAAATGTAGCTAGATGGCAGCACATTGCAAACGCGCCGTTTCAACGCAATGTGGATAATAAATGAATGTATAAACGACGGATTCATGTTTTTTTTACTGTCTTTCTTTTTCCTGCGTGTATCTTGCGATTGGGCTGCTTGTCCATAGTACTAGTGCTGAACACAAACCTGTCTACTACTCGTTTCTTCCGTTCTGGGGAGGATTACTCCGTCCGGAGGTAAGGGTCACAATTGTGATGATCTCCTTTTTGACACTCGACGTTCACTGCCTCAAAAATGACTTGACAAGTTCATGAACAGCATCAAGGGGCAGCTATACACTCTTCCTGGACCACTACACCCATCACCATGAAATCCCTCGCTCTTCCCTTCACTCGCTGGTGGTCTCGGTCTGGCAGTTCTCCTAACTCTGCAAAGGCCGCTCTACCTATGGAACTTTGGTACACCATTATCCGCGAAATAACAGACAAAGACCTTCTCCGGGTGTCTGCAGTCTGCAGCGCATTTAATGCCTTCGCAATTAGCGAATACCTGGCTAGAAATAATATCTCTACAGCCGCTGTGATACGGACTGCGGTTCCGTGAGTTGTCTGACCAGGTGTGGTATAGTCAGGCAAAAGCACGAAATTAGTTCGTCCTCTAGAGGGAAATTTCTCTGTCGCGGAGATTCGTCTGCTACTGTAGTACACGCAATGTTATGTATTTTAAAATGGTGGTGGTGGTGGTACAGTTCCTTCCGTACGGAATGAACAGTCTCGCTAGGTTCCTCGTTGGGGGGGCTAGCCTTCCAGGAAAGCTTCGATCAGAGGGTTTTCTACACTTTGCGCGAAGGGCAACGCTCCGCAAGATGAACGCCGTTCCGTGTCGAGATGCCTGGGCTATATGGTTCCTTTTCTTATCTCCTTGCCTCGTATAGGTTGGGCAAGCAGTATCTTCAGAACTGTTGAACACAACGCGTACAGGTTATAGCGTAGTCCTTCGTAACCCGGCTTTTTCTCTACGCTGTGGTAGTACATCAGGAAAAACCAAAGTTGCCCCATAGACCCAGAGAGACCCACATAGACGTCATAGACGTCATAGACAATGGACTTCTATCATAGACTGGTGGGAGGGGGGGGGGTCGACCCCATAGACACCCATAGACCCCCATAAACCCCTACTTTCTATGAGATTAGGGACATTTCTATGAGAGTTGTCGACTTTAAATTTATTTACAGTGGCTTAAAACACACACAAAGATGACGGTAAAAACATATATTGTATAGCATGTTTCCACGTAGTTCTCTTGGCTCACCCCAGAGAAGTCTTGACCACTTACTTACTATTTAAGGGTTTTTTCCATTTGAACTTAATTGCTTTTAGCTAAGGGACCGTACACATTGACTACAGACTTAGTAACGATATCGAATTAAACAAATAAAGGGGTGCTTTCTAACAGGATCGAACTCGCGACCTCGCGGGTTCAGACAAAATACACAAGTGGATCTATTACCACTGAGCCAACAGACCATATAAGTACATGGACACCAATCTGATAGGTGTACCCTTCGATCTCCAGGTCAGTTTACTTCTCCCAAGTAAGTGGTTCTTCAAGTTCTTGCCTGTCGCCACTCTGCTAAAAGTGTCTGAGCATCCTTCCCTAGCAAGTAACTCAGAAAATTTCCCACAAAGGTATGTATTTGCAGATCCAAAAATAGACCCAAAACAAAAAATTGTAAAGCTCAAAAAGAGTTGTCTGGCACAAATTTTCCTTAAACAGCTTAAGTGAAGCACAAAATGTGGAATAAATAATTTCCCATACACAACAGTTTGAAAGCCAGAACAATTCAAAACAAGGATTTTCCAAAAAGGGTGGTCAACACATAGACATTCATAGACCATCAGAGACCTTCATAAAACACTGTGTTCTATCATAGCATTTTGGTTTTCCTGATGCCAAGCTTGGTCCAACATGACTCGCTGGCCAGCATGGTTCCGCCCTTGTTGGACTATGTACTTACAACCGTGTCACATCAATCAACCGCTGAGGAAAGCCATAAACAGTGCAGGTACATTGAAAGACCTCCATAGCTCCCCATAGACACTCATAACAGCGCGGGGTACATTGAAAGACCACCATAGCTCCCTATAGACACTCATAGAACCTGGGGGTTGCCCCATAGACACCGATAGACCATCAAAGACCTCCATAAAAGGCCATGTTCTATCATAGAATTTTGGTTTTTCCTGATGTACGGCCAAGGAGTGTCAATTCCGTGGGCGTGCGTGTGGCGAAGTGGTGAGAATGAATCGTGGAGTGGTTATAATCGAATGGGATAAGCCTTCCGCGACGATGGGGGTGGTACTCTGCGCACGGATCTGCGTTTGAGGCCCAAGCCGACGGTTACACGCTGCTAAGTTGGGCTGCTGGCCGTTTGGAAGTTTCGCCGCGCGTTCTACAACCACGCGAGCTATCAACGCCGATGTTTTCTATAATTCCTTCTGGCTCGTTCTATTAAGCCGGAAGTACTACGGACAAGCCTCCTTGATTGAAGCTTTGGTCCAATTTGACCTTGGTTGGTCCCACGGAGGGCGGCGCAACCTGAGCGAGTATGTATTTGACTAGATTCTCACCCCGTATGATCGAGGGGGAGTAGCTTAGGTATGAGCAGTGGGAGGTAATAAGATGCATTCTTCTACGGACGTCCCTGCTTTTATACTAATTTCTTTCCGACCGCCGCGCGCGACCTTATTCCTCATTCGTCCACGGACCCCTTTCAACACTGCCCTCCTTGCCTCGCGGCGGGGATCTCCATGCTTTCCCGTGCGCTTGAAGGAGATACCTAACTCACGGACTGTAACGTTGCTGCCCGTGCGCCCAATTTCCGTACTCCGTAGCTCGCACCTCCTTCCGTAGCTTTGATATGTACCGCGTGGCGACACTTTCCGTACTCCGTGCAGTACTCCGCGTTGGCGATGTTTACCGTTCCGTGTTCTGCGTATGCATCATGTCGATTTGTTAATTTTCGTGAGGACCGTGGCGATTTGGGGATTTTTGCAGTGGTAGGCCTGGTGGCGCAACTGGTAACGCGCGCATTTACTGTGTTTTCCTCGTAATATTGGAATGCGAGACCCTCGTTCGATTCGAGGTCAGGTCGTGTACGCCAGTCCTGGTGACTTTTTTCCCACGGGAGAGAATCAACCGTGTGTCGACTCCTTTTCTTTGGTGTTCGTAGAGTAGACCTGGTGGCGTAACTGGTAACGCGCGCATTTGCAGTCGACTTCTCCGCAATATTACAGTTCTCGTTCAATTCGAGGTCAGGTCGTGTACACTTTTTCCCACGGGAGAGAATCAACCGTGGGTCGACACCTTTTCTTTGACGTCTTGTAGTGTAGACCTGGTGGCGTAATGGTAACGCGCGCATTCACAGTCGACTTTTCCTCACAATATTAAAACGCGAGTCCCTCGTTCGATTCGAGGTCAGGTCGTTTTTGCAACATTCCTTCCTTTTTCCGTGCGTGCTCCGTAGTGCGTATTTGCCTTTTTCAGCCACGGAGGGAGCGTATCACAAAGTGATAGCTCACACCGCGAAGGAGATTTCTGGCCCGGCGTACATTATACACCCCTTGCAGCTTTCCTGCATCCCGCCGCCAGTGGAGCATCTTGTATGCCACTTCTGGCCCTACGACCTCCGTCGCGATCTCTTGTCCCTGCAGTGGTTTGTCCCTCGGGCGCAGACTTTGAGGGACCTCGAGCTCTCCTTTGGAGGCAGTCTACTTCACGCACACCGTAATGACCGCATCCCCGTCGAGTACTCAGCCCGCGAGCTTATGGGCATCTTCTGCCGCGTGCTCTCTGGGATGGCGAGCAAAGCCGCTGGGCCCGTCGTCGTGGTGGGCCAGTTTGCAATGTTCGTGTGCCGCACGGAGGATATTGCCGGATGGAGGCTGGACACGCTCTAGTTCAATCCTCTGTCGGAGCGGAATACGCTCATGGCAAAGATTCGGGGCATTTCGGGCGGCCCGTCGACAACGATCACGTTGCGGACCACGGTGCAGATGTCGGGTACGCAGCCGGAACCCCTCACGAGGGAACAGGTCCTGGAGAACCTACAGATGGTCAATGTCTGGGTGCACAATGCGCCCGGGGTTGATTACACAATGCTCATTTTCAACATCTCTTCTATCACGCTGCTTGACCTTAACGACTCGCCTATCTCGGATGCACAGCTGGCAGCTGTTCTTCGGGATCTTACATTGCCATACCTCGAGACGCTTTCGATATCTTGATCTGGCATAGATCCAACGGCGCTTGGCAGCTTTCTTGCCCGACAACCCAGACTACGGCATTTCACATCCTTCGCTCAGAAACCCTCATCTCCCCTCATCAGCTCGCCGCTAGCCCATCCGACCCTTATCAATATGAAGGCAGTCGGCACAGAAAACATCTGCCTTGCTATGGATGCCCTCCACCTCTCCCCGCTCCTCGAGACCTTTATGTTCTTATATACACACGACACGTTGAGCAGCCTGAGCAACCTTACCCCTGCCTTCCGTCTCCTCTCCCAGCGGTCCTCCAACGCCCACCTCGAGCTGACAGTTTCTGAGTCGTCCCCCGACTCCAACCCCTCCTCCTCCTCCATGGATGAACCTCTTTTCGATGACGAAGCAGCTTCCACTGCACGCACTCTCCACTGCATCTACTCTGTCGTCATATCCTGCTCCTCAGCGGACATGGGCCTACGGATTCTGCCTTGGCTCGTCCTCTTCCCACGCCTTCTCAAGGTGAAGTTCTACCTCAATGTTACGGGCAGGGGCCCGCGTCCCGACGATCCTTGGGGGGAGGTTGAGTTGAAGAGGTTGATGGGTGAGGTAAAAAAAAAATTGGCACATGTTCCGAGTGTCAGGTAAGACACGTAGATTATCACTAATAGGCTTCATTAATTTTATTGCAATTTTCAAAACTAATGTCATTCTGAAAAAAAAGAAGAAAGAATTGGGAGGTCGTTGGGGTTCAAACCGCGCTGCCGACGTCAAATAATAGCATATGTAGGCAGGAGGTCCCTGTTCGATTCAGGGTCGGGTGATGATTGCTCTAGTCGGTTTTTTCTTTCTCTTTCTTTTCAAACCTTCCCCTCGTCTTTCTCATCTCTCTCAAACTAAATAACTACTCACCTTGCACGGGTGAAAGTACCACGAGATTTGTCTATGCTGACCGCTGAGCGCGGAGAAAGTAAAGTGTCAGTTGGGATGAAATTAGCGAGCGACCGGGCGGGATGGTGTCTTTTCTTGGTCTTTTCAACCACATTTTGCACTGTTTTTTTTTTTTTGCTCACACCTATCCGGCCACCAAACAAAACTGGGAACACCTGGTAGCACATGGTGTGCACCTGCCTTTCCTGATTCCCTGGTGACACAAGCATATGTAGGCAGGAGGCCCCCGTTCGATTCGGGGTCGGGTGATGTACACCATAATTGTCAGAACTTTATTTATTTATTTATACAACTTTCTGCTCGTCTTTCTCATCAAAACTACTCACTTTGCATGGGTAGAAGTACCACGAGCTTCATCTAGGCTGACCGTTGAGTGCGGAGTGTCTTTTTTATAGCATTGTCAAAGTAAAGTGCAAGTTGGGCGGGACAGTGGTGTCTTTTCAACAACACCTTGCACTGTTTTGTGTTCACACCGTTCACACCTACCCAGCCTCCACACAAAACTGAGAACACCCGATGGCACATGGTGTGCACCTGCCCCCTTTCATTGTGCGATCAATATCATATTGATTGCACCTCCTGCCTACATGATGTAGGTAGGAGGTCCCCGTTCGACTCGGGTCGGGTTATGGCTTGAAAGCTGGAGATTTCTTTTTTTTCCATCTCCAATTACTCTGATTGATCTTTTGGTTCCCTTTATGACAGTTCGTTTGTACAAAAATTGATTTCGCACGCGCGCGTGTGATTTAGCGCGCGCGCGCATCTACAACTTTGTGTGATTAAGACACAGACTTACTCTACTTCCGTACAGGGATATCCCATCCCGCTCCGCCATTCTTCATCGATCATAGCTCCTCCAAACCAGCCTAAGAGCACCTAGTGCTCGTGCCACGCCGTCGAGTACTAGCGGCGGCAGTGGATAGTAAGCATGTGACGTGATCCAAGGAAGGTCCATAGTGGAGTCTCAGAGGAGGACGGTCCAGCGTTGCCGCATGACGCGGAGAGCAAACATGGCGGTGAGAGGGAAGAGGGAGAAAAAGCCTGAGAAGGCTTGGGAAATGATTGATGTCAACCGGCTACCATATTAACCAGCGGACAGCGGCGGACCTGCGGGTCGTGATAAATCGGAACAGGTGGCAGTGCACCCATTATGCTTCTTTCTTCCCTCAGTTTCCTCCCCACCCTGACACACATTGGCTCGTACTGAGGTCTCGCCTGCCGGTTCACTCTCTTCAAGGTGTCCGTTTACTACCACCGTCATCCAAAATAGATTCCATCCCTCATCTTCCTCGCGCGCCTTCTCAGTAGTATAAGATACAGTCTTTGGCAACTCGTATAGTAGCGTATAGTATACTTGTCCGTCGCCAGCATTGACGCGTTTATCGATAACCACACACCTTTGGCCTTTGATCTAAGACTCATTGTGCTTATATGTTCACATAGATGTAGGACCCAATAAAAGTAATATAGTATGTACTTGGCGTTGACAAATGAGGCTGAATTACGACTGTACAGTACATGGAAGAACTCAGGGACTGCAGATGCATGAGTTGCAACTCTTATTTAAGCTGTCTCCAAGATATATTCAGAATGGTCTCCTCGCGCGCGCGCTATTTGGGGTCGCGCGCGTGCGAAATCAAATTTTGTACAAACGAACCGTCATACCCTTTTCTTCCCCTCAGCAAACTGTCATTTTCTCTTCTGTAAAATACAGTTTAGTGCATGTGTCTTCGTTCGAGACTTGTGTGGTGGGTTTTCAACTTGGCCGATCAATTTCTGCTCATACCTATCAGACTTCAAAGCAGGTAGGAGGACACCTGGTAGCACATGGTGTGCACCTGCCTTCTGTAAATGAGTCGCCAGGGGAAGATGTAGGCAGGAGGGCCCCTGTTCGACTCGGGCTCGAGTGATAATGACTGTGGTCCGCTTTTTCTTTTTCTTTCTTTTCAAACCTTCCCCTCATCTTTCTCATCTCTCTCAAACTAAATAACTACTCACCTTGCATGGGTGGAAGTACCGTGAGGTTCATCTATGCTGACCGCTGAGTACTGAGTGCTAGGTGTATTTTTTATTTAGGATTGTAAAAGTAAAGTGCAAGTTGAGATGAAATTAGCGAGCGGGCGGGATGATGTCTTTTCAACCACACCTTGCACTGTTTTTGCTCACACCTATCAGACTTCAAAGCAGGTAGGAGGACACCTGATAGCACATGGTGTGCACCTGCCTTTCCTAGTTCGGTGAAAACATATGTAGGCAGGAGGTCCCCGTTCGACTCGGGGTCGGGTGATGTTCGCCAAAAATGTCAGAACTTTTTTTCAAACCTCCCCCTTGTCTTATCTATGGCGGTCGGAGTGCCCCTTTAATAAATCGGGGGTAAAGTGTCCGATTTTGGCCACATTTTGATGTATCAAAAGATGAAACTTGGCTGGATGAACACAAACTTCTTGCATGCATAACTCTGTCTCTTTTTTGTGCACCTAGGTATGGAATGTATACTGTGCAAAAAGTCTTTACATGTTCCCGAATTAAATCAACCTGCAACTTGACCATTTGGCCGCGAAATTAAGGTAACCTACTCTCATTCCAACTTCGGTGTGATGCAACTTTGCGTGCGTGAATTTCGCCTGGCATGCAACTCAGCAGGAATACAAATTCAACGAGCAACAACCTCCACAAATTGCAACTCTGAATAACTGCAGCTCTAGGAACAACGGGATTAGGGAGATGCAACTTGGGTCTTACCTGAACACAATTTCGAAAAATGCATCCGCAACTTGGTGGGCGGTGGGCATCAGGTTTGAACTCAGTGGTTTAGAATAAACTCTATTCATCAAGTTGTTAACTTTGTTTTCCTTGAAAAGGAGAACATAATAGGTAGGGTCCATAGGGAGTGAGCTGAATCAATGCGAGAAACAAATCATTCATGGCATTATGCTGCCCCGAGGAACTTTGGCCTCCCATCGATGAACCGAAACTAAAACTGTGTCCTTTATCTTCCTTCTACTTTCTGGCTCCATCCTGCTTACCGCAGTCTATCCACCGCGGCTCTCACCAACAGATTTGATTGGTTTACTGGCTGGCACTGTGTGTTGTGTGTGTTGGAAATAACTGG